GCTTGCAATACCACGAAAAAGTGATTTTAAACGGATCAAGTCAGTTTTTGAATCCGCTACTAAGAAAAGTCGGTTCGCTGTGTTGGGCTAGACAATTTTTCTCACCAGAAACATGGCTTATTTGTAAATTTATCATTCGCCCGTCCATCGAATATTGTTGCTATATGTGGTCTTGTTCTTCTCGACTTCTCTCATTTTCTCACCTCCGTAACGTAGCTTCCCTGTGTCCTTTCTATAAATATTTTGATGGTAACTGGTTTTTTTTATGAGCTTTCCTCCTTGATACCGCGACTTCACAATTTTAGAATCGGTACTAGATTGGAAGTTAGGTCTCACCATTTTCCGTAAGTTCTATTCTAACGGTTTCTTTTCTTCCCTCACACTTCTCGCCTGTGGAACTCTCTTCTGGCTTCTTGAATTCCTGTCAACAACAATCTTCCAAGGTGTAACTGCAACGTCAATCGTTTGTCTCTTTGAATCCAGGTATTTTTCTTGTCCTTTCTAGTCACTATCGTTTTCTCAGTGTCCTTCACTCTCAAAAACCCCCAAGCGTCTTTATCGCCTTGCGTCTTCGTGGCTTTATCGTCTTACTTGGACTGTGAAATTATTTTTTTTAAATCTATTAATACTAAGGGCTTCTAACGACAAACACTTTTTGGGATCACTAATTATTATGTTATTAACATAGCATCAATTGTTTTTACTGTGAATTCTAAAAATCTATATGCCCTTCAGTTGTTTTAAAAACGTTTAATATTTTGAAACTTGGTTTTGAAACAGTACACATTTCCTTTGTACAAGATTCCGTTTTTTAATGTCGATTCAGAAACTCTAATTTTTTTCGTGCAAGATGCAAATGATAGTTAAGGTGTGTATACATTTTTAGGAGACGCCCTGTAGGAAGCAAAATATAAGTATTTTTTTTTTTAATTCTGAACATCGCGCAGCCACTGGAATAAGCGACAAGTTTCAGTTCCATTCTTTATCGTCCCGGATTAATCTGTCGTATGCAAATTGTTTTTGTCATGTTTGTTCTTTTATTTAGTTTTTTTTTTTTTTCTCTGAGATCTCTGACAATTCTTCCAATTTAGAATTTTACATAAACTCTGTGGACCATTTCTCCTTTGCAAAACACAATTAGTAAAAGAAAGCAAAAAAAAAAAAACAAAAAAGAACGAAAAACAAGAAGAATGGTAAAAAGCAGACAATAAGACCCCTAAGAGATTTGCTGGAACATTTTAACTTCGACTATAAAGACGTTATGTTTTTTTTTTTTTTAGTTTATCTTTTTTTTTTCGTTTTGAAGCAACGAACTAAACAGAATAAAATGTCTTCATACAGACTTGTAAAAAAACAAAACAAAAGAATAACAAAGCAAAAAAAAAAAACAGAAAGTATTTTTGAAATTTTACTTGCAGATGACCGAGGAATTCGTTAACCAGACTTTTTTTTAAGCGAAAAAAAAATAAAGAAAGTAAATACAATCAATGACTGGAATTATTTAAAGAAACATGTGCAAATACTGCTGTCCTGAACAAGAGAAAAAGTATCACAATAGAACACATATAGTTCCTCGTGAGAAAATAGTCCCCATGATATTTTTCGCAATAAAACGAGGCGCATTGTCAAGGGAGATAACTTTGATGTGTAGATTACAAACGTAAACATTTTAGGTACTAGCATCTATAAAATTTTCAGGGTTTTCACAAACCCTTTATAGAACAATCGTTTACACACCCGATAGCTTCTTCTATATCTATGAGTCGTGTGCCTTCAGGCCTTTAGCGGTCAGGACTCTCCACACAATCGTATCCGTTGTAGCCCTTAACAACACTCCTCCCTTTGCTAAACCTCCCACTCATCTTTTCACTATCCATTATCTCGTCAGGTAGGGGATCTGCTAACTTCCACTGATCATCTTCTCGATATACCCTATGAATGCTAAATTTTCTAAGCCCTCCTTCGGCATTATATACGCAAGAAATATCTCTTTCTGATTATGGTTGGTAAGGCGATTTAAGCCGCAAATAATATCAATACAGGAAGAACACGTAACACAATTGAAAGTGTGGAATCTTCCACATTAGCCTTCCATCCCTTTCGGAAAGATGTATTCTTCCCTAAAAAAAAGCCTTATCCAATCACCACTTCGTTTCTGTAAATTCAATCTTCTATTGGTTAAGAAACACTAAACTGTAGCAAAGTCGAAATAGATCCTTTTTCCCGCCGAAGCTCCCTGGAGCCGATTTTTAAACACCATAGTCTATATAAACAATAGCATGACTCAATTCATGTCAGTCAGTCATTGAGTTTCGTGAGATGCTACCAAACTCCAAGCGTGTCAATTCACTGACTCAACATCACTTCAAAATTCTCAACAAACTCAACACAGCACTCAACCGACCATTGTCCGCGTGGTAATCAAATTACAATTGACTTAAAAAGTGAACATTTTCACTACACAAACAGTAATTGTACAATTCATCAATTTAGCCAAACAGTTAAAGGCAAACAACTCTTCACAACTTAAATTCTAACTAACAAGTAACACACGCACACACACTAATATTTGAATGACCACATTTGAGATTTTTCCTTGCAGAAACCAAATTATTTTAATTTCACTAACAAATCAAAACCATTAACTTTTATTGACAAAATTTCTGCATGAACTTTCTTCATAACCTTTTCTCAATTGCAACAATCAACAAACATTCTGTTATCCTTGCATGTATATCTATTGTATATATAAAAATGTCTTTATTGTTGAATCTCTAACCACTGTGTTTTTAGTAATTTCTTGCAGTGCATATTGTCCTTATATTCTTTATTTGATCTACGTGTTGTGGGATAATGCATAATAAGCACGCATAATCTTTGCCTTTACATAAATTACCTTCTGATACATTTTCATTCAGCTACAACCCACAACAGGAATATTATTGAAGTTCATATATATAAATCCTATAGAAATACTAGTTCTTGTTGCAAACAAATTGTTCTGTTTACGGTTATATTATAATGAAACAATACAAGTCCACTTAACTGAAGTCCTTGGTGTTTGTAGAATGGTTTCATTTGCGTACTAATATAGTACGGCTCTCATGTCAAAGTGCAGGTAGAACCAGAGACGATTTTGACATTCTGTACCTGGCAGATCTTGGCAGAAAAGAAGAAGAGTAAAAGAACAAAATAGCGTTCTTTATAATTGGCGCCAACATATTCTGGCTAGTGATTGGTCGGTTGACGATAGACGTGATTTTTAGAGAGTGCAGTTTACCAAGGGCGACAACTCACTTACGTCACATATTTTTCTTATAGGTTATAAATATCGTTTCCGTTTCCATTTTCTTTAAGCCTTCTTCGTTGCTTCCGCGATAGAATTCTCAGCATCCTTCTGTAGAATCACATTTTTGTTGACTCCAGGCTTTTCTTCGTCTGTGAGGAGACTGTCCAGCACTCACTGTCATAGCGCTTGTATCTCGATACTACATAGCAATTAAGCACACTTTTCTTTCTTTCTAACAAAATCTTTCTTCATATTTTGCTTAGATTTTTGAGTGCATCTTTCGTTAATCCGCTTATGATAACCTCCAAGAAAGTGACTAACTGCGCCTTCTAGGGTTAATGTTTTTCCGATAAAATCAACTGAAAACATTATATTGAACCAATTGCTTGGTCTGCCGCTAGGAATATTGGTTCACCGTGTCGTCCGAGACAATTTTTCTCGCCCGAATATATCTCACATATTCCATGCTTAGAATATTGCTGTCACATATGGTCTAGCGCCGCTGTTATATATTTATAGATCCTTGATAAAATCCAAAGAACAATTTGAAATTTTTTCCTGATCAGGCATCTCGGCTTCAGTTACTTTCACACCGCTTTTCTGTAGATACTTTCATGGTAATGAGTTTTCCACTATGGTACCTAGACTATGAATTTAAACGCTGTACTCGATTGGCAGTGAGGTCTCGTTTTTTTTTTGTTTTTTGTTTTTTTTTTTTACAGTTGAAATGGCTAGATTTAACCGTAATTTTTATCGTAACAGTTTCTTTTCCCGCACTTCTTGCTGGTGAATCTCTCTTCCGGCTTCTTGTTTCCCAGTCAACTTTGATCTCCAAAGATTTAAATGCAATATCAATCATCTTATGGCTTTTTGATCCCTGCATTTTATTGATCTCGCTACTTTTTTTAAAAATATTTTTCCACATTCAGTAAGCCTTAGTGGCTTTATTGCCTTGCTTGGGGTGAAATGATTAAAAGGAAAGCAATGAATAATTTCGATTTCTGAATTGGAATTATATTGAAATTGATTTTTGTTATATTATTTCTTATTTAAATAAAAAAGAACGCTACTAAAAAATGGATTGGCATAGCTGATGGAAGCGTTTTTATTCCTGATTATGTTACAGAAAAATCTAACTCTCGGATGACATGAAAGAAAAGACTTATAAGCGTTTTTAATTCGTGGATAAATTCAAAACGCGGAGATTATCCTCAGAGAGGTATAGCGTAGAAATGGCCATTTTGGTCAAAAATGTTCTCATCTTGCCTTAAAGATGTTTATATATAAAACAACATAAGACACACAAAAATAACAAAAGGTGAAAAATTATCTCCCTTTTATCTTCTTTCTTATATGTGATAGATAGATAGATAGATAGATAGATAGATAGATAGATAGATAGATAGATAGATAGATAGATCTCAGCAGATAGATAGATAGATAGATGGATAGATAGATGGATAGGTAGATCTCAGCAGATAGATAGATAGATAGATAGATGGATAGATAGATGGATAGGTAGATCTCAGCAGATATATGGATAGGTAGATAGATCTCAGCAGATAGATAGATAGATAGATCTCAACAGATATATGGATAGGTAGATAGATCTCAGCAGATAGATAGATAGATAGATAGATAGATAGATAGATAGATAAATAGATAGATAGATAGATAGATCTCAACAGATATATGGATAGGTAGATAGATCTCAGCAGATAGATAGATAGATAGATAGATAGATAGATAGATCGATCTCAACAGATATATGGATAGGTAGATAGATCTCAGCAGATAGATAGATAGATCTCAACAGATATATGGATAGGTAGATAGATCTCAGCAGATAGATAGATAGATAGATCTCAACAGATATATGGATAGGTAGATAGATCTCAGCAGATAGATAGATAGATAGATAGATAGATCTCATCAGATAGATAGATAGATAGATAGATAGATAGATAGATAGATAGATAGATCTCAGCAGATAGATAGATAGATAGATAGATAGATAGATAGATAGATAGATAGATAGATAGATCTCAACAGATATATGGATAGGTAGATAGATCTCAGCAGATAGATAGATAGATAGATAGATAGATAGATAGATAGATAGATAGATAGATAGATAGATAGATAGAAACAAATCTATTGATAGAAACATAGATATGAACTGACTAAGGATAGATATATAGAAGTTTATAAAATCGTTTTTATTAAAACAGGTTTTCAGGCAATTGAACTTGTCCAATGTTATTTGCGCATCAGTAAATCTAACGAACTCGACTGGAATTCGAACTCTAATCTCTGATTTCGCATTAGAGATAGATAGATAGATAGATAGATAGATAGATAGATAGATAGATAGATAGATAGAGTGGGGAAATAAATATTCGTACACTTGAAAAATTGTATTTTTATAAATGTAAAAACCTTAACTAAAACAAATTTTGAGACATTTTATGTGTAAAGATACATTTTATTAAAAAATGGTAATAAACTTAATTAATTCTTATTCTAACAGAAATTAACGCATTTTTTTTTCAATTTAACTGATGAAAAAAGTATTCGTACAAAACAAAAAAGCATATTGATTTAATACTTTGTGGAATATCCTTTATTGAGTTCAACAACTACCAGTCTATTCCTGTACGTCTCAACTAATGATTTGCACACATTGAGTGGTATTTTGTCCCATTCTTCTTGGCATATTGTCTTCAAATTGTTGATATTTGTTGGTGCTCTTTTCCCAATTTGAATTTTCAAATATCGCCATAAATTCTCGATTGGATTCAAGTCTGGGGACTGACTTGGCCATTGCAAGACATCAACGTTACTTTCAGCTAACCATTTCCTTGTAGATCTAGCGGTATGCTTAGGATCATTATCCAGTTGGAAAACCCAATCAGGAGGTAGCCGAAGTCTCTCAACAGAACGCATTGTCTTGCAGGATTTTCTCGTAGCTTTAGGCATTCATCTATTATTGATATTCTGCCAAACTTTTTGCAGAAAAGCAGCCCCAGATCATGATACTGCCACCACCAAACTTTACAGTTGGCAACGTGTTCTTTGGTAAGTAGGCTTCACCGTCCTTCCTCCACACATGATTTCGATAATTATGACCAAACAACTCTATTTTAGTTTCATCTGTCTATAGTACTTTTTCCCCAAAACGAATATTTTTTATCCTTATGCTCCCTAACGAATTTTAGCCTAGCATCTCTGTTTCGTTTCAAGAGGAGTGGAGTCTTCCTTGGGTTGCATGATTTCAGACTGTTTTTGTGTAGTTCATTACTTATTGTACACTTGGTTACTTTAATCCCTAATGCACGCAGATGTTCCTGCAGCTCTTCTCGGGTAACCTGTGGATTTTGTTGGATCTGGCGTCCTAATATCCTTGCTGATCTTAGAGAAATCTTCCTCGGAGCACTTGTTCATCTTTGGTTTTCGACGCTGTTAGGAGTTTTAAACTTTGCAATGAACGAAGCAATTGTAGTAAAAGGAATATTCAGGTTGTTAGAAATCGTTCTGTAATTGTTCCCATCTTTCCAAAGAGACAAAATGTGTTGTTTTTGTGAAATAGTCAATTCTTTACCTTAAGGCATTATTAGAACCTTCTCATAAGACTAGAAATTGCAGAATGCTCTGATAATGGCTAATAGCGTTAACTATAATTACTGATAACATTACTGGAACATTCTAGAAATACTTTTTTTTCATAATTAATTGATTATTTTATTCTAATAATTGATTTGGATGAATACTTTTTTCACCAGTTAGAATTTTTAAAAATGCATTAATTTCTGTTAGAATAAGAATTAATTAAGTTTATTATTATTTTTTAATAGTGTGTGTCTTTATACATAAAATGTGCTGAGATTTGTTTTATTTAAGCCTTTTACATTTATAAAAATACAATTTTTCAAGTGTACGAATATTTATTTCCCCCACTGTAGATAGATAGATAGATAGATAGACTAACCGTCTTCTATGAGTCATGTCTCTTCAAGAAATTGGCAATAATGACTTTCTACAATTCCCTGTTACAGGACATTTGGTATTTTTGTTCTCTCTTCTAAACTTTGTTCCGCTATTCATTTACTCAAGTTCGTTAGGTAGGTTAAGGGCTGTTCTACTCTGCCCCTTAAATTTACTCCTTCCTGTGAGTATCATATTTTCCAAGACCCCTTCTCTTATTATGCGTATTAGAAATGTCAGCTGTCCCTGCCTAATGTTATGTATAAATGTCCTGTTTTTTTTTGTTTTCATTTTCTCTAAAACTTCGCTGTTCGGTCCATGTTAATCTCAGATTATTCTGTAGAATTACATTTCTATTGCTTCAAATCCTTTCTTCACTGCCATACAGGTGGATTAAAATTACGTAACAATTCAGTATTCTTTTCTTCCTTTCTAACGAAATTTTTCTGTTTCTTAATATTTTGCATTACTTCTGGAAGGCATCTTTCGCCACCCCAAATGCGGCTTTGGATTTCAATGTCGCACTTTCGGTCATCTGTTAAAACACGTCCCAGATATTTAAATTTTTGAACTTGTTTCATTTTGATATCCTCATTTTTTTTTTTTTTTTTTTTTGCATGTTGGGCTGTTCATTTTGCTAATAACCATGAATTCTATCTTCGAGCAATGGATGTTTATTCTTTTCTTCTCGCTTTCCTCCACTACCTTCTATAGGAGTTCGTGGAGTTTCCTTTTTGTGTCTGCTATCAACGCTATACCGTCTGCATATTTTATGTTCTTTTTAAGATTCTGGCTGCGAATAATGAATCCTGGTTTCGTTTCGTTTGTTTTACGGCATATCAACCTCAATGGGTTATTTAATGCCGACAAGATTTTTTATTGCTGGTAATTTTTTTTTTTTTAAATGTACAGCTGGTAATTTTTTTTTTCAAAAAGAAGTATTGTTGGTAACATTTTTTTTTTTTCAAAAAATCTATTGCTGGTAATAATTTATCTTCAAACATTTTTTGCTGGTAATAGTTTTTTTACAAAGTATTTCTTGTATTAGAACCTATTTTTACACTTCCATAGTGACGCCTAAAGAGAATTGATAGTTCGAAAGGTGATATGAAATGTTCACATCTGGTTGGTTGGGCTTAGTTTGACATATCAACCTCAATGGGTTATTTAATGCCGAAAAAGTTTTTATTATTGGTAATATTTTTTTCAAACATGTATTTCTGGTAATAATTATTTTAAAAAAAAAGTATTTCTGTTATTAAAACTTATTTTTACATTTTCATAGTGTTTTAGCCCCAGTTTGTGGTTAACTATTTGCCCATAGTTGGGACCCTAACAGGTGCTACCACCCCGGGTCAGGGTGGACTTGGGAACACAACCAAATAAGAGGTGGTTCTACGCTCTTCAAAACCTCCTGATCAGAGGCTTTGCTATCGGACGTAGTTAATCGTCATACCCAGGACACAATGATTCCTGTAAGATTTCTAATACTCTCAGAATCACCTCATTGTATAGGTTAAATAAGTTCAATAAGGGGACAAATCCTTGTTATAGATCCCTTTCTGTTATATATTTACGGAATTCATTTTCTATCCGTATATTGGTGTTGTTTTGCTACCAGTATAAATTCTGGATTATTCTAATATCCTACCGAATTATGTTAAGGTTACCTAGTGATTCAGGATCAATTTACTCACGTCCTAAGGGACTCTTGAAGGACTGCTGATGACGAAGTTAGTTCTTAGCTTACGAACGAAGCAGATGCGAAATTTAATTGCGGTTTAACACCCGACGGGGAGCGATACGGCATCCAGTGGCGGTTCGGGGAATGAGCTAATACCCTGTGTCGTAAATAAGGAACATGAAAATATATTACCTGGACTGTACCGTGTCCCCCTAAGGAATGTGTTATATCTCGTGCAAGATATAATAAACAAAGTAAACCCGTGTGTTGGTTTTCAATAATAATTTTATAATCGGATGTAGGTATGTCAAAATACAGAGACAGAGTCGGGAGTATGCAAACCTCAATAGGTGTTAACAAACGAAGACCTTTTGACTGTCCGCTGTGGTCGTACTTAATAGGCAACCAGTCCGTCCATTATCGTGAATGGGGAAGTTGGGTTATATCAACACAACACCTCCCCCCGAAGCTGAAATTCTCCCTTTTGAAAATTTCTGCTTCTAATGTCGTCTTTTTTGAACCAGGCTAAAACGCTCCACTGGTTTTCTTTCCCGTGTGCTCCTTCTTTTAGTCGTCACAATTAGATCCTTTTTTGGCGAAGATAATTTCCGCTTTTCAGCCCGTACGGCTGGTCCATGAGATACAGGTTCATATACACTATTGGTGTAGTGTCATGTTAAAAGCATCGCATAACACTTCCATCGGAATTTCTTCGCTTTTTTCACTTTCTTCACCATATCGTGGTCTAATCTGATTGATGTGTCTTTTACACGTAAATTTTTTACTTTTAATCGTGCAGACCACTTTACCAATCCTTTTCTGGATTATGCCATCCATCCAATAGCTTTTTCCACTTTTAAAATTTAAAAAAAAAAATTTGTCTCCTGAAGTGTATTTTTATGTTGACTTTTTCTCTTTCTTAGCAACTTTTTTGTTTTGATAGGGTAACAATCTATCGAAAATTGATCTAATTTTCCTTGCGAACATAATTTCCGCCGGTGACATTTTCGCATCGTTGTTCTCATTAGGAGTTACCCTATAGATTGCTAAGAACTTCTGAATAGTTCTTTCTTCCGTGTCCATACCTATTTTTACGTAAAGCACGTTTAAAGGTGTCAACAAATTTCTCGGCTTGACCGTTCGACCTGGGATGACACACTGGTGTAGTTATGTGTTCAATGTCTAAGGCAGTACAGAAATCCTTAAACTCCATACTTGTGAACGCCGTACCATTGTCGCTAACCAATGTTCTAGGAACCCCCTGAAACGACTGAAAATTTCATCCAATGCACTGATGGTGTTCCTAGATGTAGGATGCTTGCACTTGACTACCTCAGGCCATTTCGATAAAGAGTCCACCAATATCAAATAATAGTGCCCATTAATTGGTCCAGCATAGTCTATATGTAGACGTGCCCACGGCAAATCCGTTTTCGGCCAAGGATTCATTTTGACCGGAGGTGCCCTTGCAGCCAATTGACAACCTCTACATAGTCTTACAAAACCATCAATATCCTTGTCCATTCCTGGCCAGTATACGTAACCACGCATGAGTGATTTCATCCGAGACATTCCAGGATGACCGGTATGAAATTCTTTCAGCATATCTGTACGTAGAGATTGAGGTATAACAATTCTATCTGCGTACATCAACGTGTTGTCGCAAATTGAAAAAGGTGAAATCTGAGTTCCCTTTTTCTGTATTTTGTTCCATCTCGTCTGGTTCCTTAATTTCACA